TTAACCTCAACTGATTCAGTGACCAATTCAATTTTTAATTCCTTTATTATAACTAAATTTTCCCTACACAAGTATATTCAAGGAAAAAAATGAATAATAATAATTTCAATGAAAGAATAATAATTTTTATAGTTTTGGCCTATCTTCTTGTCAAAGACAATTAAAACTGTAAAACAAAACACAAATGAATGGGAAGGCTATAAATACATTTAATAAATAATGACTTATTTATGAGTTAAACCAATCACAGATAGCAAAGAGAAGCATTTTTTGTTGTGCCCAATAGAACACATTTGTTAAACGCGATCAAGGGAAATCATCTAAACCTATTCATTTTCCCTTGATGACCAACGTCCTCCTCTTCTTTTTAGCTCATTTCAAACGATCAAACTCATCTTTTACTTGCTTCTTCTTTGCCTTCTTTACATGCATGTTGCCTTTTATTAAATGCAAGTTATCCATGGAAAATACTGCCTAACAACTAAGATTCTTTCATTTTCCGAACTCATTTTCTTTAAAAAAATTTCCTTTAAACTGTATACATTTTTGAACTCCTTTTCTCCAAGAAAATTTCCTAACTTCCCATAACCCTTGCACTTACCCATCTTGCATACACCAAGAGAACTTCAAAGCTATGGATAAATATGAATTTTGTCGAAACAACCTAATTCAAGCACACCCTTCTCAACTGCATTGTAAGAAGAAACACGTGACAAGTCAGTCATCAAAATTTGAAAATAAATGAAAACATTGCATTATTTAAATCAATGGCAAGACACCACTAGCAAGTTGCCCAAGGATGCGTGGAAGAGATTAGGTGAGGGGAGTACATAAAACAATGAAATACAAGAATTAAATATCTCTATTAAAATAAAATTCCCTTGACAATTTGACATTCAAATTTAAAAGTCATGTGTTAAAATGTAAAGCACAGAGATGCAGAGGAAATGCACTAATAGAAATAAAAATAAAATGCACACAAAAAGATACAATTTATACAACAAATAAGCACATAAACAAGCGAAGAGATATACATGTAATCAGTAACTCAACCCGAAAAGGGGGGGGGGAAGGGGCAAGGGACTACTAGTCGCCTTGAAAACAACCCTTTCATAAAGGTTTGGTAATAAATTTTTAAATAAAATTTTCATTCATTTCTTTTATGCATGAAGAAAAAATTCATTCAATAAGAAATAAAAAAGAATAGATAAGCAAGCAACATCACTGAACCTCTAACAGAAAGCAATCAATTGCACATTGAGTCAACCGAGTCAGAAAAATAGCATATCTAGTTCTCAATTTTCAATCCTTAGACTATGTAAATAACAAGTAAAGGAAATAAAAAGGTGGGAGGAATCACAACTCACAAGGCGACAAATAGAGGCAAGTTAGACATGCAATGTAAGTAGTAAATTGTCATCTTTACCAGTCCTAGATGAATTTAATCACCTAAAATTAAACAAGCTATTTTCATATAGTACATTGGTCGATTCTAGTCAATACATCTATAAAATAAAAACCTCATAAGTTGTAGTTTCTGAATGGCTTATCTTGGCTCCTCTCTATTTTTTACTGTTCATATGAACAGTAATAGCTTCTTCTGGCGCATGGGGCTTGCCTCCTTTGATAAGCCAACTTGTAAGAAAAGCTAATGATTGGTTATATGCATGTGTATTATTGTCTCAGTAGAGATGTTTGCCGCCGGGCTAAAAGCCAAGTCATTATGTTTTGGTAGGAAAGAGGCCTGGGATATTGACAATTTCAAGCATTTTTATGTTTAGGGGTGTATTCCATGATAAATTGACAATTGGGGATAGGTTGTACTAACACAAAGGAGTGTTAGGGAAGGTTTCTTACAACATGCACCCAAAAATACTATCTTCCTTTTCATTGTGTATATTATTGCATATCTTATCGAGAAAATTTCAAGCAAGGACCTTGATTAGAGATAATGAAAAAGATGATTTTAGAATTTTTAAAATTTCACTGAATGATGTGTATGAATTTTCATTTCAGTTCATGACAAAAATGACAAAATTGCTTTTATTTAAATGAACAATATAGATGATTTGTTTGTTCCCATACTGTATGTTATTCATTTACTTATAAAATGCTATTTATTTCCTTACTTCATTTGTTTATAGCCTTAAATTTACTTAATTTCATTTTAATGTTGGTTTCATGATAAGATGACTTGTTTGTTCCTATACTATATATTGTTTGTTTACTTACAAAATATTGTTCGTTTCCCAACTTCACTTGTTAATGGTCCTGAAATGAAATCAAGTAAAAGCATGACTATAAACAAGTAAAGTAAGGAAACAAATAATATTCCATAAGTAAACAAACAATATACTATATGAAAATGAATAAGTCGTTTGTGTTGTTCATTTAAATGAGGACAATTTTATCATTTCTGTCATAATTTCAAATGAAAATTTGTATGGGTCCTTTAGTGAAATTTCAAAAATTTAGAGATCATCTTTTTTATTATCTCTGATCAAGAGTCCCTCATTTAAATTTTCCTTATCTTATTTTTTTAAATTGCAACAGTATGCAAATTTTATTCGATGATTCATGTGTTCTATCCTTTAAAGATACTGATTTAAAAGGGATGCAATAAATAGGCATGCAAGATATAGAGGAAGTGGTCAAGGCACAAGGTTCCATGTGTGATGGATAGATATTCTTTTCTTTTATCTTTCTTAGATATTCTTTTTTAGATCTCATTTGGTATTCTAGAATTTAGGGTATGGAATTGAGATTGGATATGGAATTGAAAAAAATGTGTGTTTGGTATGCATGAATTTAGTTTTCATGTGAAATTGAATTCTATCAAAAATGATTGAATTGGGTTCCATGAGGAGACTCATGGAAATGAGAGAAGCTTTAAGGAATTATAGTATTTCAGACAATTATGCCCCCATTAATGAAATTTTTTGACGTATTTGTCCCTCCCATTTTCAACACACCCTACTACTATATTTTACAGAACTGTTTTTGACATCATCTCCATCATTGTCACCGGCGAAGAGATCAAAGAGCAAGGATTGAATCTAGTTTCATTTTAATGACTTCCTTTTCTGCTTTCATTAATTTCGGCGCTGGGTTGATATTTTTTTTTTCTTATCCTTTGACAAACCCCCGACCCCATAACAACTTCTCTGAACTCATCCTAATCAATATTCATCGAACTAGTTCCACATACATTCTCGATGAAGAGACTAGAGAGGACGAACCTAAGGCTTGCATCTCTGCCATCTTATGCTTCGTCGTCTTCATGATTTTTTCTTCTTGAACAGTGATGAAGAAGGACCTTCAATTTCTACAAAAATGCAATCGTTTAGGGGATGGAAAAATTTCACCTTTGGCATCTCTTCTGCCCTATGCTCTTCTAAATCATTTAAAAGGACCTTCAATTTTTGCAAAAATGAAATTGTTAAGAGGAAGGGAAATTTTTTCCTTCTGCATCTCTTCCGTCATATGCTCTTCTAAGTCATTCAAAGGGACCTTCAATTTCTATAGAAAAAAAGTTTGAAGGAAACGAATTGTCACCTTATGCTTGATTTCTACTTCGATCTGGGTTGCGATTTTTGTATATGGCATTTGATTTTGTTTCAATCTGGGTTACAAGGGTGGACATTTCTTCAATTTGCTGGGAATTTTTTTTATGAGGGCATTTTAGTCTTATACTATTTTTAACATGAACGTTGAATAAAAATAACCCTTAATTTTTTGAACATATCAAACATTTTTTAAATCTTATATCCATTTATATTTCTATATCTATTTTCATTTTCATAAAAATAATTTTTAATATATCAAACAAGGCACTAGTTGTATCTTATCAATGAAAGATATAATAATTATTTGTGAAAGTTATTATCAGTAAAGCTCTTGTACTCTATTACAGTAGTTCCATTTCATTACAAATCAACATACACTATATATATAATCTTCATTTTTCTCCTTGATCTCGATCTGTAGTATAGCATTTTTTTGTTGATTGATTGTTATAATATTATTAATACTTTATGATGAACATTTATTATTTTTTACAGATCTGAGCAAATATATATTTATTTTGAAATTGATTCTAAAAAATTTATCACACTGCATAAAGGAGGTAAAGCTATCACAGTGAAAACCTCAAAATTAAGTGATTAAAAATGTAGCGTGTTAGATCATATTATATTACCCTTTTCTTAACTAATTAAAAATGGTGGCAAAAATAAAAAAAAAACCCCCTAAAGAATGAAGCGTGTCATGTTGCAATACAATTCATGTTCCTTTTATTGCCTTCAATTATTCATATCTCTTCTACCTTAATGCAACCTAAAAATGATAATATGGATTGCAAGCATGTTGCAAATTTTTGAACAAAACATCTTTTATAGATTAATGCACCTTATCTATTTGTTTACATTTATCTATTAATGAAAGTAAATATTTAATATTCAAAATAAAGAGTTAAAATTAAAATGATTTATATTCACAATTACTATTTTTATTATTTATTTAATAAATGCACTGGCAACATCCTATTCATCAATAAAGTTAAATGTATTTATGGTAATATCATGAAGTTACTCCTTTTTTAATGGGAATATTTTGTTATGATTATTATGTTATTTTCTGTAAATTAATTTCAAAGTCTATATTATGTTCCAATAATAGAGACATTAACTTTGCATTTAATTATTTTAAACATAAAAGAAACATTATGTCTAATTATCAACAACATAAAGTATATGCTCCCGTGCAATGCACGGGCAGCATATGCTAGTTGTTACCCAATAAAAAAAAGCATATGCTAGTTGTTACCCAATAAAAAAAAGATTGATTAGTTCTGAGTCGGAGAAGGTGTCCTGTTGCTCTTTATGCATGGCACAATTTGAACACCCACCAGACTTAAGCTTACCAATCAATCAATTATGTATAGCAATATCGCTTTGGTATCTTCCAAGAAAACAAGAGAAAAATAACAAAAACTACATTCGTACAATTCAACCTGCAAGCTCAGGTTAGTTTATCGAAAATAACCATGGCACCTCCAACTAGGTCCACCAATCCAAAGCCACAAACGGATAAAACAATCCAATTTAAAACTCATTCTACAAACAGATAAACCACAAGATCTACTCGATCCAGAATTACACGAACATCAATACAGTCATGCAGAATTCAGTTCCAGATAAAAGGTTTCAATACCCAGGTTCATCCATCAACAAGACACATATACCAAAATTATTGCTATAAGAATACCTCAAAAAATCCAATTGAAATAGAAAAAGAAAGAAAGAACTATAAACCAGACCTGCGGGAATTGCATAGAGGGGAAAAGGTTTAAACCTATATATTTCAGTCCCATGTACCGAGGACGCGTTTTAACAGGAAGTAACCAAAGAAGGCGTAGAGTTCGGCCTCAAGACTCTCGCTATTGGCGGTACCCCTCAGAAGTTTTTAATCATCGATGACGGCTGGCCATCCATTGGCGGTGATCTGGGAGACGAAAACAATTTAGTGAAGAGATTAACAGGAATCAAAGAGAACTCCAAATTTCAAAACAAGGGAGATCTGACATTGGGAATAAAGAACATAGTGAACATCACCAAACAGAAACATGAATCACAATACGCGTATGTTTGGCACGCAAATTACAGGATACTGAGGAGGGGTACGACCGGGAGTGAAGGAGATGGAGGAATACGGATCGAAGATGAGGTACCCAAAGGTATTGAAGTGGGAGGCAGAGAACGAGCCGAAGTGGATGACGGACGCGATGGCTGTGAAGGGTTTGGGACTGGTGAACCTGAAGATGATTCCAATTCCAGTAGGTCTCGTGATGGCTTCTGGGAGACGCCCCTTCCGTCCTCTAATTTCCTTTCCCTTTCAAAACGGAGGGGCATTTTTGTCCATTCATATCGTTCATTTTACTCCCCATGTAAAAATTTTTGTTAAATAAAAATAAATATAAAAAAATATTATTACCAATTAAAAATAAATTTTTTTTATTAAAATAAAATTTAATTAAAAATATTTTATATTTTTTAATTAGAGAGGTAGATATTAAAGTTAATCTGGTTTATAAATTTACCTCGATTCTTGGAGTAATTTCTCTTCTAAAAAAAAGGTTTTTTTAACAATTTTTATGATTTAATTATAATATAAATATCAATATAAATATATAAATATGATCTTGATTTATGATTATGAATTAAAAAATAAGCGGAATGGTGATGTAGTCACCGGCACAAAAGAGGCAGTGTCCGCTCGGCGGGAGAGGAGCGGGAAATCAACCAGGGATGACCCGAGTCTTTGCGAGCGATGACCCGAGTCTTCTCTCACTGAACTACAGGATGGACGCCGCCGATTCCGAATGCTATGGCCCTTCCGTCAAAGCACTTGGTTCTCTCTTCAAGCTCACCCAAGTCTTCCTATGGTGCCACTCCTTTGTTTCTCATTCATAAACTAGATCTTCTCCTTTGCTTCTACTGCTTAACTTTCTCCTTATTTGCAGGGATGATGGCGCGCAGGTTTCATCATCAGCCGAACGCCCTGTAAGTTTTCTAGCCGGTCTTCGAACTGAATATTTCTAATTTTTGTATTAGTTATCTGATTTCTTGTTCACTTGGTTTTATGACACTTGTTTTACCTAGAGACCGGCTGAAGCTGATGACGACAAAGGCTTACACCTTGTTCCTACGACCGAAGGCAAGTGTTTCTGCCTCTCTCTAGCACTTCCAATATTTCAGTTGTGTCGTAGGAGTTTTTGAATGACATCGTTATTTGCCAGCAAGTTTTTTGCACCTCTTAGCAGAGAATGGATGAAGTAGTCTTCACAAAAAGGAAAAAAAAAATGAAAGAAAGAAAGAAAAATTCAGTCAAAAGAAAGTCAATCTTCTTAAACTGGCGGTTGTTTTCCAAAACAACATTATATAATGATCGCCAGAAAACACTTTTCTAGAAGCCTTTTATTTTACGAGAAAAATATGGTGCCCTTATTTATCATTATTTTTTGTAGTGCTTATGTGGTTGACTGTGCCAGGAACTGTATCTAATGATATTATTATCTTATGTTATTTTGCCGGCGTTCTCTGAAGATATGGAATTTACGAGGCAGATGAGTGCATTGGGGCTTCCTCTTTCCTTTCACACAAATAAGGAGGTATGCTTAGTTGCTCACAGACGTTCTTAAATCTTCCCGATGTAATGCTTTCCTTAAAAGTATGCATTTCTCTTTTAATTAGATATTTTAAATGCTGCCAAAGATGTAAGTCTGTATTTAAGTTACTCAATGCCTGAGATCTTCACTATCAAACATAACATAATTACAATCCAAGTGCACTTTCCAGAGAACATTTCAACTATACATGCGGTAGAGACTGAGGAGAGCCGGTTATGCACATGTGTCTATCAACAGCTATAATCTTCTTGTAACAATTATCGCTAATATTTTTAATTATAGGCATTGTTGTTCACCATCCTTTATCATTTGCATGATAGTCTTTATCTATTAGTTAATTGCTGTCAAAGGTGCTATGAATTATATCTCTGAACTATCTTATTACAGAGAAGTGGACAACCAAAAGGCAAAAGAAAGGGTAAACGTAGTTATCAAAATCCAGTAGATGAAGCACTTTCCAGAGTGAATGTAGAGGTTATATCTCCTGACATTTATTATGATAATGCAAGCAATTCTTTATCATGTATATCAATGCTGGGTGAAAGCAAATCATGTCATTGTGACGGTTCTGTTGGTGTTGATAACTCTCAATGCGTCTCTGGCGAAGGTCACAATGCAGCAATTTATACTGGTGTTTTGTCTGCTGTTATCAGGGAGCAAATTGATGATGACAAAAAAGAGGGTGTAACTGATGGTGCTCAGGATGGTGACTTATTAATTGGAAATATATTTTTAAGTGATGATTTGAAAGCTGCATCAAGTTCACCTGTTGGATCTTCTGCTGGAGGTAAAGGCAGTTTGACAGTTGCTGGTGTCAGCTTTGGCGGAATAGAAGATGGTGAACGGTTGACTGATAATGAATGTTTTGAAGTTTCATCAATTGTTTGCAAAGATACAGAACATGAGACCATTTGCAATGGTGACGGTGCTACTTTGCAGCCAATGACTCATGTATCAGATTCATTTCCTATGAGTTCAGAAGAGATTGGATTTGACCGGATTGCTGACTCAAGCAACTCAGGTGAGCTTGGACGATGGAGGGTGTATTGGGATGCTTTCTATGAGAGAAACTACTTTTATAATATCAGAACACAAGTATCTACGTGGCACCCACCCCCAGGGATGGAACATCTAGCAATTGGGGGTTGTACGGAAATGGATAAGGGTGCCACTGTAGCAGCAACAGAGGAGCATGGTTCTCAGAACAAGACTTACCCCCTTGAGGAAACTTTGATCATAGAGAAATTGGCTAAACAAGATTTGTGTTCACCTGAGATTGGATTTATTTCTGACAATATGATCTCTGATATCAGTGTACAGAGTGAAGGCCAATCCTTTGAATTGATTGAAAGCAGTAGCTGTGACGATGGAGTTTCATTTTGCTCAATGTTAGGTTCCCTGGATTATAACATCAGGTATTACATCTTATACCTAAACCTGGCATAAGGACTGTAAATGCTTGAACCTTAATTTATCATGTTATGATCATCCTATCATGTTCTGATCGTCCAAGGGTTTCTTTGTAAGGTTATGCTGGATACTTTATCACTTCTTGATGTGATTGATGAGACTTACATTTCCAGGACAATTCATTTAATTTGCAAGGCTAACAAAGCGCTTCAATTATTAACTACTAAGTAGTAGTTAGTGGAATTATTAGAAAGTTCTTCTTTCAACTGCTTTCTGATTTTTGTATTCTTCATGCTCTTCTTATATTTGACATGCCCTGCAGCTCTCACGAAAGATGCATCAAACCGACTTCAGAGGGTAATGACACATGCATGGATATCACTGTTCCTGTTATGAGTGGGTTGCATGCTAAATCTGACCCTTCCATGAAAATACAGGAAATGAAAGTGAAAAGAAAACCAAGACGGAGAAGATTGTACAATGAAACTAAAGGTAAGTTACATTATTTTCACCTAGCTTCTGTGATAACTTTGCTGATTCTTAATCTCCCCCAACTCGATGGCTCCAATTTTCTTAATAATGCTTTTCTGGAGTCAAATGCTGAGAAACTAGATGCATGGAGTTATTGCCATGCGATTTTATGATGCAAGTTATAGCATCTAGACCATGTACAGATAATTCTTTTCTCTGTCTTGTACATGTATGCATGCAAAGTCATTCTTGGATAGAGAGTGTTCTTGAGTGCTGCTTTATGGCACATGTTTCTCTGGGGAATGCTAGTCAAAGATGAACCAAAGATAGATGCTTGATTGATTGATTAAAACTAATTTCTGGGAGTTCTGTGCCTTCAGACATTAATGCTTTTAAATATGTTTTGCTTCCTACCTTGATGGGAACAATATAGCCAATTGTATTAATTGAAGTCTTCCAGCAGTTGTAATAAGTTGTTAGTTGTTGCTGCTTATTTAAAATGCTGATTTTTCATTTTGCAGATCGCCAATTTCAAGAATTGCATGAAGAGTATTCTGCTGCCATTGGAAAATATTGGCATCAGAGATATAGTTTATTTTCTAGATTTGATCATGGTATAAAAATGGATGAGGAAGGATGGTTTTCTGTCACTCCAGAGCCTATTGCTCAGCATCATGCATTACGTTGTGCTTGTGGTACCATAATTGATTGTTTCACAGGTGTTGGTGGAAATGCCATCCAATTTGCAGTTGCGCAAAGGTGAGTACCGAATAGTCACATGCTGCCCAATAGATATAGTTCAGTTTGTGTAGATTTTGGCAGGTAGCTTTTCCTGTCTGTATTTTCCAAATTTATAGGACTATAGTTTTCTATGAATAAAAAAATATATGATGGTCCATGTCCATTGGACCGCAACCCAATATATAGCAGAAAAAAGGAAGGGAAAGTTGGGGAGGTAGAGCAGTGAGAGGAATGATGAGGTGTCCCATGCATAACTAACTTGTCATATGGTACATGAGTGTGGGAGATGAATAGATAGGAGAGAAAAATGTCATTGTCCAGGTTTAAAAGCTTGGAGATAAGAGTGAGAAGAGAGGAAAGAAATCATTTGGATAGGGAGAACCTTTAGCCTTTCAAATGCTAGAAAATTTTGTTTGTTTTCTAGATTTTATCTTGTAATCGCCCAATGCTTTTGGCACTTCCTGATAATTTTTGTTTATTTCCTTTGAGTGGTATTTGATTTCTGTAAATGGAAATTTATTATTTGATATTATACTTACAGGTGTGGACAGGTGATAGCAATTGATATTGATCCGAGGAAGATTGATTATGCAAGGCATAATGCTGCCATCTATGGGGTGGGTGATCAAATTGACTTCATTATTGGAGACTTTTTCCTTTTGGCACCCAAGTTAAAGGTACTAAAGTTGATAGATGACTATTTTGCACTTGTTGTATCTTTTCTAGCTTGTGCGGGCTGGTCAAAATCACTAGTGAAGTTAGGCTGCTTACCTTTGGTATGTTTTGAATGTGATCAAAAGAGATATTGAAGACAAGCAGCAATAAAATTATGACTTGGTCCTTTTCATTATAAGAATTTAAACCATGCTCCATTCCTGTACTTTAAGAGTATCAATCATTGCCTAGTGCCATTCTGTACTTTACAATATCAGCTGCTGACAATTGGAGTGACAGCAGATATATATATATATATATGTATATATCAAATTATAAAAGTTAAAAACTGGGCATCTTAGTAAAGGAAGTGTGGAAATTGGGGGAGGATTGCTAAGGAGCCTTCCTTAACCATCTGAAATGGAATCTGTTTAAGAAAGAAGTGAGTAGGCTTACTTTGGCATTATACACAATTCATGCACTTCTATCCATGACAAACTGCAGTTTAGACATTGTTATACATAGTTCTTTTCCTGTTTATTACTCGTAATCTAATCAGCAATGTGTGTTTATATCTTATGCTTGTCCTGCAGGCTGATACTGTTTTCTTGTCTCCTCCTTGGGGGGGACCTGATTATGCTAAAGTTATGACTTATGACATGAAGACGATGCTCAAACCACATGATGGGTTGGTAGACTATCATTTTTTTATCTTTTCAGATAGATTAGATAGTTTTAGTTCTCATGATTATTTTAACTTAATACTTCTGATGTGCAGATATGTTCTCTTCAGAGTTGCAAAGGAAATTGCATCTAGAGTTGTCATGTTCCTGCCAAGAAATGTTGACTTGAACCAATTAGCAGAATTATCTCTATCCGCCTGTCCTCCATGGTCACTAGAAGTATTGCTCCACTCCTTTTTTAATTAGTATGTTATTGTCTGAAATTTGAAAGAATTAGATTTTACTGAAGATTTTTTTTTTTTAAAAGAAGTGCATATTTTATGAGATGAATATGGATTATACAGTAATGTTAGTCCAATTTTTATATATCTAATGACTGTAAACTTGTGCTTGGCTGGAAATCGCACGAATCTTACTTTAAATAACCAGGACTAAAAATTTGAGGGAAAGACGTGAAATGGGGGAAGTATAGACGGTTTTATCCGTATAACAAAAGGGAGAAAAAGAATCAAGTTTCTAAATGGCGTCTTTCTTTCATGAAGCAAACTAGTGACCGGAGTTTGCTATGTTGTTTTCTTGTCTTTAAGGTTAACTATTATATTTGCCATAGTTTTTTGACACTTAACATATTATGCATTTAACTTGGTGAATTAATTCTCATTTGCGATTCTGATCTCAGGTGGAGAAAGTCTTTCTGAATGGTAAACTAAAAGCAGTTACTGCCTACTTCAGTGATACAACAGTTGGAGGGTGCTGAGTTATACAACTCCTCTTCTGGTTCTTTTTCATCGCATGAGCAATACTATGCTCCATAGTGGGAAAAACATTTTGATTAGCCCAGATTATTTTGAAGTTGCAGCTGAGGAGTTCAATACATGTTTTTTGTCGCTCTTTCTGTAAATGACGACAATAGATGCCCTGATTTATCTTGTGTGAGCACACTTAAGGTGTTACATCGTGCCTAATTTAGCAAGTATTTTTCTTCGGTTTAGTATCAAGCTATGATCCAGTGACCACTGATAAATTTAGGTAGCGATTTGATTGACCACCGACCTTTGAAAACAGATTCACCGGATCTTGAAGAAATGAGAGTTGAAGAGGGAAATAGGAATCTGAAGCTATGAATTAGATCCAGATCAATTGAACAAAGAGCCCTAAAGACTTTCCATTTCGTTATTTCAGAAAGACTGCATGTGAAAGGCATAGGCTACCATCTTAATCTTTATGTAAGCCTATAAATAAAGAGAACAATAGTGATTGATCGGACCGAACTTGTGAGGCGTGATTAGATTTTTGGAAGTCTCAGTGCCTCACGGGGAGAACAGGATTGAGCTTGCTGGAAACGTCCAAAAAATGAATTTGCAATTTCTCAATTAGAAGATCCAAGCCAACTCGTGGGTGGGAGTTGAAAACTGAAGCCAGCCACTGACACGTACACGTAGCACGAGGACCAGACTTGCCTAGCCTCAGTGGCTATACAAATTACTCTTGAATCTGACCTTCCTTACGCTGTACCTTGCACTTGCTAGGTTCCTAGCCTCAGCAAGGTTGCATAAAATATAGCGCTTCAAATTATCTTGTCAGCGAAACATGCAAGATTCAATAATTCATAGAAATATTCGAAAGTTTCTGTGGTTGGTAGTGAAAAACAAAATGGAGTAATTGGCCGACTATAAGGAGTAAATAACTCTTGCCTCGGATGGGCTGTTCTTCCAGGTGAAGTTATCAAATGGACAAATGCTGGTTTGGATATGCTTTATTAACGGTTTTTGTGTTATTTTAGGAGTGATTGAATATATCATACTTTTACCATCTATCTTTATCCAGGACAAGTTATCCGATTTTTTAAATCGTATTTTCAGCTGACAACAAATATGCAAGTCTTCTACAATTAAGTGCACAGCAATAGGGAGTGTTGAAATTAACGGCTTGCACTGTTAGATCTTTTAAGATGTTTTTATTTGCAACCAACATTTTAAGGGGTTATTTGAAAAGGGCACAGGATGAAAATGCACGGGCATAAATTGAACAAGTTTATCAATGGTTTTATAATATAGTCATTTACTCCTATTTGATTGGAGGGAAATGGAAGAGAGATAAGATTTTAATGAGTTCAATTTAAAAATAATAATAACTGAATTATAAAATTTTAATAAAGAGAATATGTTAGATAAAAAAGCTATAAAAACTTTTCATGAAAAAAACGCTACAAAAACTAAATTAAAAGGTTTTAATCTTACTCCTCCAATTTTAGGCTCTACCAATATGCTATGATGAGTAAACAAAATTATCTAAATGATGTCCCGTGGGAAGTATTTATCTAAATATTATACCAAAAAAATGAGTTTATATTTATGAAGAACTCATTCACACAAAGAATAATTTTATAGTCAGAAGATCTAACATTTATTACTTTTTAATGAAAAGTTAAATCATTCACTTGGTGAATGAGTTTAACCTTTTTTTTTTTACTATTAAGACATGATATTCACTGTGACTATGTAATTCGTCCGTGTGAGAATCTCCAAGCATGCTTTCTCTTTCCCATTCATAGCTATTTATCTACCTAACTATCAATTAAAAATAAAAATATAAAAAAATAAGAGTTTCAAAATTTTAATCAATTTCATTACATGTTATTCTCATTATTATCACCACTTCCTTTTATATCTCCCAATCCTACTCAATTTGGATCATTCATATCTTTGTTTAATAACCCTGCACTATATTTTGTTGAATATAACACTTCTATTTTTGAACATGATAGACTATCAAATCTAGCATATATTCATCCATTGATAGTCAATTTCTTTAGTTGAATCACCTTAATTTAATTTAAATATACTAATTGCATGGGTAAATGAAAACATTTGAATCTCAAGAATAAGGGAGCATACAACAACAATAACATAGTATATGCTTCATTTGATTCAAATAAAAAATTTGACTATGAGGGGAGACAAATGCTTCGTTTGATGGTCTACCATATTCAAAAGTAAAAGTATTATATGTAGTTAAAAATAGTGTGGGATCATTAAATAAAGATATAAATAGTTCAAATTGAATAAGAGTGGGTGAATTGAAAAAGAATATGATGAAGATAATTGTAATAAAATTGATTAAAATTTTAAAATTTTTGTTCTCCTATATTTTTATTTTTAATTGATGGTCGAGTAGATAAATAATTAGTATGTAGTAAAAACAAGGAAAGGGAGGCATGTAGGAAGATTCTCTTAGGGACAGGTCGCATATTCACAATGAACATTATGTTTTACCAGTTAAAAAAGTTGAACTCATTTACTAAATAAATGATTTGACTTTTATTAAACAAAAATTAAATGCCAGATTTTCTGACTACAAAATATTCTTAGTGTCAACGAGCTTTTCACACATGTAAACTTGTTTATGGTTGGAATGATTTTTGATATAACATTTGCAGAAATAATTCTTACGGTGCAGCATTTAGGTTATTTTATTTACTAGCATATTTCCAATTTTTTTACATCAAATTCATTAAAAATTTTCATTTATGTCCCTCCAACTCTCCAACCAAATAAACTAGTGAAAGCTATTCCACTCGCTTTCACAGGTAGAGAGGGTCCGCGGGAAATTTTTTTAAAGAGGTAGGGAGGGTCCTAGGTGCAGGCCTGGCCAGGGGAGAAGGACCACATGAGCCATGACGAAAATATTTGGGTAAAAGGACCTTGTTAGAATTAAACATTTTAAGGGAGCATGATTTTTAAGAGAAATTGTTTTTAAATATGAAACATTAAATTACCTTTTTTTTTTGTAAACAGATTAAATTATCCTTTTAATAAAACATGCAAAGAATATGAATTTGAAATTGTGTATAGGTTTAGGAAGATAATATAAGACATTCATTCGAATTTCCTCGAGTGACATCATTTTTAAGAATAGGACATTTAAGTTTTCGCGTAAAGTATTTAGATAATTGCTAAATTATTCTACTAACATGTAAAATATTTTAAATAATTAAAATTATATGAATGGAGTTATTATAATTAAAATTTAAGAATTAAATTATAAACAAATTAAAATTATAAATACTGAGTTAAAATGAATCAATATTTGAGTATTAAATTATAATTAAATTAAAATTATAAAAATTAAATAATTAATTTTTCTATGAGTATTTCATATTTTATTGAATTTTTTTAAAACTTGAGCACACGTCCTGACGTTGACATTTTTTTTCATATTTTACTCAGGGCATAGTTTAATCTTTTCACGTTTAGACATGATTTGCCAAAATGCGGTCTCTTTACTAAAATATGATGTTATTTGGCCCTTTCCACCCATTTCCCTTGGATTCAATGTGGTGTGAGCTGGATATCTGTGGGGGCTCCAAATAGTAACTCTTGAAGGGTCAATTTTGGCATTGGAAAGTGACGGGCCATTTATTATTGCCGTTTATTTCTCATCACATCACTTTGAATGTCGCCATGCATGCTTGTTTCACAGTTCTGCCACTTGGATCATGAACCCGCTTAATGAACACCCTTGTTTTCCACTATTTTAGGCGGTGAAGATCATGGATCTGATTTAGGGTCTTTAACCAAATAGCTTAAATTACTCTATAAAACATAATTAATCCTTAATAGGTAAAATTTGACATGGGAGGAGGGACCTATGTGCAATATTCTAATGAAGCCGACGGTGAAGGGAACAGTGCTCAAAGAACACCAGGACGATTAGTGCATGTTTATCCGCAAGTGGAGGCCAATTTCGATATTTAATGATTGGGGGTAAAAAAAAGATACGGTACCAAGCCACATTAATTTTTTCGGTGGGGTGTCAGAATAAGGCATCCCATCACGTGTGTGCGAGCCTCGCATTTCTCCATTTCGCAGATGTGCAACAGAGATTTTCAATCTCCGCACTAAGTTTTGGTTTAAAAAAAAAAAAAAAATCTCCGCACTAAGGAAAACTTTTTTTTTCTTTTATTGTTAAATTACATTATTCGCCAACTCACTGTTCTATTGTCCATGCCTTCTTATTTTGTAGAAAAACATAATTTTTAATTTTTATATTTTAATGTTATATATTCTAACAATTTTTTAAATATTTTAAATCATTACACTTTTATTTTTTAATATTTTAAATCTTTAAATGATCAAAATGAATAAAATATAAGAATCTTAAATGAATGAAAAACATTAAAAATGAAAGTATAGATACTCAAAATATTAAAAAAAGTGTAGAAACTTATAACAAAATACAAAAACTAAATTTTATATTTTCTCTATTTTTTATATTGCATCAAGTGTCATGGATGAGTGAGCGATTCACCATTATTATTAGTATAATTTATTTTTATTTTCAATTTTATACTATAAATAATTATTATAATATTATGTAGATGAAAACTCATACCACAGAAATATTCATTACTCCCTCCATCAAAAAATGTAAAATATTTTTTGAGGAGTTGAATGTTCAAAAATATAATACATTTTTAGTCTTTTGAGGCATAATTATTATTTTTTTTAAAATGCCCATATTGATAATAATTTTATATTTATTGTAGGGTATTTAATAGAGATAAATATAAAAAAATAAATTTAATTTAAAAATAAATAATTATATTATTAAATGATGAGAGTTCATTAAGAATATTTTATATTTTTAAATAAAAGGAATATAATTTTTCTCGCTATCAAACCAACCCGTGCCTAGCATCATTAGTTTGTATGGCAAAACATTGTCATTGTCTGGAATCGTCACTCCATACTTTTCGTATTAAATATCCCTTTTTGTTATATAGATTCCTACAAGTTGCAAAACACGGGAAATATATATATAAATAGCCCTTTTTGTTATACTAGATTACTACTAGTTGCAAAACACAGGATATATATGTATGTATGTATGTATGTATGTACGTACGTACGTACGAAAGCAAGCCAATAGAAAAATAATGTTGTTTTATTTTATACTGATTGAATGGAAAAATGAGTAAAAAGAAAAATA